TCAAGGAAAAGCCTAGCCTTTGAAAGCAATGCACTGAGGGTGCTTAAAAGAGAACTCTTCAGACACAAACACCATTTACCTTTAAAGTGAAGAAATCTGAAGTGTAAATGCCTATTTGTTTGTGGCTTTTCCATGTGCACCAGGGCCAGCTTTTGTCCATGCAGCAGGCATGGATGTTTAACCCATCTTAGGATACCATCTGCCAGGATCATGTTCTCTGTCAGTTGCCTTCTGCTAACCCTTCTGTGCTGTTCCTCAAAATCCTTCTTCTTGTACAGCTACAGATCAGTGATCGGTGGGCGTCCCCTGCTAGTGAAGTTTGCCTACCCTTCTGAGCGGCTGCTGAAGTTGGCTGAACCTAAAAAATTACACCCGGCTTCCCTGCAACAAAGGTGAGAGACTAGAAAACCTATAGGGTGCTACAAGTAGGCCCTTGGGCCTCGTAGCATCAGTGCAGCTTCAAAGTAATAAATGCAGCAACAGAGGATGGGTATAACAGAGGGCAAAATTCAGAGCGGGGTCTCTGCTGGCATTAGAACTTCTGGAAGCTCTCATGGGATGAGTTTTACACTGGAAATGGCCACAAACAAAGCTGTCTTCTACTGCAGCAAACATGAGGCTTAAACGTCCCAGCTGCAGCCTGGTTAAACCACGGTGGGGGAGTATCTGTGAGTGGCGGTGCCATGACTCTCTGCTTCCAGATCCCCCGAGTGGCCCGTGTCACTATCTGCACTGACCTATAATGCCTCCCCACGGATCCTCGAGCTTGCCCGGCCAAAGTTGCTGCATCCAGAGTTCATTCCGCCCAGAGAGGTGAGGAGGTGGTTGAGTGAGATTTGGAGGGAACAGTGATGCAGCAAACTGTCCTGAGTTTTTACATCCTGTATCCTGCCTCTGGATGTGCCCAATGTGTGCTATGGAGGGGAGAAGCTGTCTGGTTCTGATGGGATTTATGATACTTAGAGAAACTGCCTTCTCAGAGTGAGATACTGTCTTTGCAAATCTCCCTGCTGAGAGACAGAAAACAGCCAGGCTGGAGCAGCCTAGTATAGCAGGGGAGCCAAGGGAGGCATCTGGGCTGCATCCCCTGATAAAGCAGACTGGGAAACTGGAGAAACCTGATGGGAATGGTCTGTTTAGCTCTTAGGGAGAACAGTCATGTTTGTAGTTAGGCAGCTTTGCTCCTCTATGTATATAGGGGGCATAAGATTGCAAACACTATGTGTGTTTTAACAGTGTTTTACTAGAAGCCTAATTTAGAGACTTATTTCTGAACTTGTTCCTTTTAGGTGGGTCATTGGTTTGGCAGGGGTGAAAGGGCTTGGAGCAATCTCAGATTACACTCATTTCTGTGGCAAAGGCTAGACTGCATGGATGCAGTCTCTGGGGCTGGGAAATGAGAGGCTGCGCTGGAGCAGGATTTGGCAACGGGAACCCTGTGAAAAATAGGGAAGAAGTCCCATGCTGGAGCAGCAATCACTTTTTCCATAGGAATGCAGTTAACTGTACCAGCCCTTTTACCCTGAAATCTGTGTGTCTCTCCTTAGCAGGGAAATCATTTGATTCAGCCAGGAAGATGAACATGAAAAATATGGAAGAAATTTCTCTGCTACAGGGAGAAATTTACTTGGCTACACATGCTCTCATTAATGGCATTCCTCTCCTGGCTATGAGTAGGCAACAGTGAGGAAAAGAAGTGATAGTGGCTATGACATACGAATCCCTATAACACTGAAATTACCTTATAGTTCAGGTGAAAAAAGAACAGTGGGTGCTGGGGAAGTAAGAGTGCTCCTTCTTGTGACCATGTCTGCAGAGGAAGGGTGCTGAGATGCTCATCCTTGTGGAGAGGGAGCGTGTCCCTGTGGGCTGCTGTGGACAAGCTCTGTATCTGCACATTCCTCCTCCATTCTGAACCCATGCAGGTACCAACACAGGTTCCAACTCCTGCGACCTTGGCCAGCGCATCCTCGCGGTTAGAGCGTCTGGCAGAGCCCTGTGTCAGGCAGGTGACCTGCTGCTATAAGCACAGCTATCCTGAATCTGTCATTCGTCCGGTAAGGCAGCATCACCCGGGACCCTGTATGGAAGGGACACTTGGCAGAGGAGAGGGCATGGGTGCTCAGTCCCTTGTGGCTCTCTTCATGGCAGCCCTGAATGTGCTGCTCTCTGTAAGGCTGATGTAGCTGCTTCCTGAGCTGGAAAGCAGGACTCATCTTCCATTCAGAGCATGAGCTGACTCCCGTAGGTGTCCCCAGAGAATGGCAGAGCTGAGCCTAGCCTGCAGTTGTGGGGATGGGGAGAGGGAGACAAGTGTCTAACCAGGATCTCCAGTGCTGCGGGGTGGGTTGGACAAAGGGCTGTGGGTAAGGGGAGGCTGGAGGGCAGGTTGTGGGAATGGCCAAGCAGTGATTTCTGCTTCTACAGTTTGTCTGGTGCCAAACATGTCTGAGGACAGGATTGTGTCCCATCTGCTTGTAGTCAGTGGCTGTGAACCTGGGTACACTGAGTTACTGGAGGCTGACCACTCTCGAATGCCAGGAGCACCTCTAAGGACCTTCCTCCTAATTCTTCCACAGGTTTCCAAGTCAGCTCAGCAGGCAGTTGCGAGCCCTCGGACCATTGAGCTGGCTAGGCCAAAGAAACTGCATTCTAAGTACGCGGCCCCGCGGGATCCTCAGTGGCCAGTGTCAGAGGCTGCCAAGCGTGCAGTGGCTACACCAAGGATTGTGGAACTGGCCCAGCCTGGCAAAAGGTAGGTGCTGCTTCCCTGTCATGGGGAAATTATCAGCTGCCAGCCCATTTTCTGCAGGCCATAGCACCTTGTTATTTGTGTTTGGCCAGTGAGATTAAGCCACTGTTCTTCCACTTCCAAAATGCATGGATTTTCTATGTCTGGATGTGATAATGCTACATGGGTTGTGCAATTTTGAGGTGGAAGGACAGTCAAAAGAGAAGAAATAGGAACTTTCTAATTCCAGCAGGAATTACTGGTTGGGATTTCTTATTAAGTACTATCATAAAAATCACCCAACTGGCACAGGGCACAATGTAGCACATTCATGTTGCCCAGCATGATGCAGCTGACCTCAGCCCAGCCTGCAGGAAGTGCTGGATAGGATGTTTCACAGAGGGTGGGGGAATGCCTGGCTGTAGTGACTGCCAGACAGTCCTTCTCCTGGTGACAGCAGTGGAGGCATGACTCCTTTTGTCCTCCCTTGACAGGGAGGGGCAGGGCGCAGGTGGAGGTGTGTCAGCTGGCAGGCAGCTGGCAGCTGGCCCTGCTCTAGTCGAGACTGACCATCCCTACTCTCTCTCCCCCAGGCCTCCCATGGGCTTGGCTCAATTCAACCTAGATGCATTCAGAGTGAAGGAGACTGCTATGAAGGCAACTTGTTCTGATCGGATCCGAGAACTAGCTCGCCCAGTTCAGCGCTAAGCTCCCTCAGAAATGCACCTGCCAGCTGCCCCCATCACCCCTTGGAACATCACTCTCTCTGGGATGTGCTGTGTGTAGAAAATCTACTTGAACACAGCACAGAGGCAGCACTCAGCAGGAACACTTTCTGGGAATTCAAATAAAATGGTCACTCCTTAAGAACAGTCACCAGGGGAAATGAACAGAATTTGACCTAATCTGGGAAGCCTCTCTCCCTAGGATGGGTTATATCTGCAGTTTCTCTCCTTATTGTTTTGCTGTAATAGTTAAAGAAATAATGAAACAACTGCTGGGGGAAGGCAGCACAGGACCTGTTCTTTCACACAAGAAAGTGTGGCAAACCAAACACAACAGCATGCAGTAGGGTGATGCAACACAACTCCTGAACTTGGGTTTAAAAATTTTTGCTAAAGTTTAAAGAACTTCTTGCTGACACAAAGTTTTGTGCTTGTGACAGAAGTAGAGACACAAAAGGCTGCAATGTATGTTGAGTTGGCTTGGATTTGGGGCCTGTTTTCTCAAACGCCTGAAGAACAGGCAGATCCAGCCTTTTCTGTTGCATGCATCTTTGATACACATTATGCATCTGGGTAAAATCTGTGCAGTTCAGATACTCAGTTGTGTCACCCTGGGCAAAATTGGGATTTTTGGAGCCTAACTCAAAAAAGCAGAGTTCCCCTCAGTGTAAGAGAGAAAGCACATTGCAAAGGCTAAGAAGAAAACAGATATTGATGCCAGACTCTGCAGAACAAATTCTGAGCTCCAGTCGGGTCTGAGAGCAAGTCAGTTTGGCAGCTGGATTGCAGGGGAACAACATAGCCTTTGCAGGACATGGCACAGGGAGAATGCTTTTATCTGTTTGCTACAAGTTTGGTGTGCTTTGCCCTGGCAGCCCAACCACTGGCAATGGGCTGGAGATACTGAGGCAAGAGAGATGCTCACTAGTAAGGGACAAAAGCCACAAATGAAAGCATGTGGCAGTTTCAGAGTCAATGTATTTTAATCTTTCCTGTGTTAAGCTGATTCTGCTTCCAAAGAAGTAGAGGCAGGTGACCACAAACCAGAAGGGGATTAATCAGAGGATCCATTAATCAATTCAGTAATCCACTAAGCAGAGGACTTTTGAACCCTCTTGAACAAGGTAAGGTCACTGGGAAATGGTGCTGGTTATTTTTAGACCATGTGTTGTCCTGTAGGAGGATGGATGAGTTTGGGTTTTGTGCAAGAGCCCCAGCACAACTGCATTCCTCAGGCCTGAGAATGGCCAAGAGGAGGCTGGAGTCTGCCCCCTACACCCCTCACCATGTGGGAGAACCCCAGCAGCACCAGCCCCTGCCACCTCAGGGCTGGTGTGCATGGTGCTGTATGGGCTGCTGTGCAGGGACCCATGGGCGTCCTAGAAGATGAGGTTGCCCATGTCTGTGGGCTGTCCCTGTGGCAAGAGGGAAAACCCACAGTGGCCACTGAGGCCATCTTGGAGAAATGTTGCCCTCCCAGTGGAAGGAGTCTGCCTCCTGCCATTAGGGCAGGGAACACAAGCAGGGACATAACACAGCTCCTCTCATCAAAAAACATTGTTTTTTTTTTATTATTACATTGGGGGGAAAAAAACCCCAACCTACTAGTTCCTTCTCTTTGTTGACCTTTAACAGAAAGGTAAAAAAGGCATTCAAGGAGGGCTTGGCTTGGTCTGATTATGGTGTAGGCACTTGGTTTGCCAGGATCCAGAGCTGACTCTGGCATCTTGAGCTAAACAAGGTCACCTGAACAACACATCTGGTTTCCCAGGTGCCCTGCTCTCTGGATTATCTCTACCTTAAAGCTAGTACACATATTTTGCCTCTGGGGATTGTAAGGAAAATGAATCTTTATTTCCTCCTTCTATATTTGAACATGTTTCATGGCAGCTTTTCTGCAAGCCTGGGACAAGAGCATGAGATTGCCTTGTCCTGTGCAGCTGGTGTTAATGGGTTGGAATCACTAGACAGGTTACCAGCCATTAAAAGCTGTATACACACACACATACATACATACATATATATATATATATATAATGTTCTTTTTTTTGGTTATGTACATGTTAAATAAAACTTATGTTAAATAGCAGAGTATTACTTTGTATCGCAAAACCTATTGCAACAGAAGAACCCCAGCAAAACCCACTCTGAAGAGCTTCATTATCATTTATAGGAGGCATGGAGATCAGAGCAACATCCTCTAGTCCCTGACAGACCCGCTTTCTGAGGGCAGCCCTTCAGACTTCCTCCACTCTGCCAGGCGCTGCTTGAACCATTTCTGGAGAGAAAGAACAGAGCAGGGGTTGAGTGCACTGGGCTGAGTGAACCCTCCAAATAATTTTGCTAAAGGTGCAGATGTGGTCAGCACATGGGACCAGGCAAGGGAAACTCATGGTACTGCTTCTTGTAGCAAGGCACTGTACTGTTCCCAGGCAGTACGGACAGTCGCTCCTGACCAAATGGTCTTGTTAAACTACATGTGCACCTCTTTCAAACTCATTTCTCTTGCTCACTTCAGACTTTGACAGCATGGCTGACTTCTTATTTTATTGCTGTGAGTCCAGGCTTTTCTTGCAAACAGAATAAGAGATTAGCTAAGGAGCTGGATGATGTCTGTTTAAATGATTGGAGCAGTGAGACAATCACTTTCAAAACTGACAGGAATCAAAAGCTGAACTGCTTCAGAAAGGATGAGAGGGACAGCACAGTGGCTCTCAACAAATTTAAGAACAAATAGATTTTAAAAGTTGTTTAAAATTATCTTAGTCTTCAAGCAATATGCATGTCTATGTTCTTCTTTAGTAACTTAGCATTTGTAAGCCAACTTCAAGAGCTGCTGATGCCATTTCAGCACAGCCACAATTTAAAATATTAGATAAAATGCATCTGGTTAAAGCCACACTACCTAAGAAGAAAAGTAAGAAAAGAGATATAACTCATGTGCCGGAAGCACAGCTCAGCCTTTTGTTTGGCAATGTGCCTGTGATTCCTTTTGTCGCAGCTCATCTTGTTGCTATATTTGTTCATGACTATTTTTGAAGCTATTATGGTCCATAATGATACAACCACAGTGCTCTGTACAAGTGTCTCTTGCACTCACACTGCCTTGGATCACATCCAGTCAGATGATCGACAGCCTAGCTTCCTCCCAAAAATGTCACTTTCTGTCCTAAACCATCATCTCCGGTTGACTCAGTACCTCTTTGCATCTCATTTTTACTGAATTTTTTATTAAAATGGCTGCTATTTCTAGCTGATAAAGCACTTCAGATGTCAGGAGCAATGGTTCTCTGTGTTATGCGCAGTGCAGGCACTTTGCAGCTCACCATCCCAATCTTGATCCTGTCCCTAATGTGACCTTCATCTCCAGATCTCTAGGAGCACCCTCGACTTGTGGAAAAGGAGGGCTATCAGGGAAGATTTTAAGATATGTGGGCATATCTTAAAACATATATGACCTGTTTTTACAATTTGCTTTAGGAAAAAAAAATGGAACGGTGCCATTTCTAAGGAGAAAAAGGTATTTTAGGGGTACTGCCTCCTTGCTGCCTCAAATAAGCAGTGATACCTGCCTGTCACCAAAGCACAGTAGAGGAGGGGTCCCCTTTTCTGCTCCAGCCAAGGACTATCAGTGCAATGGATGCTGTACCAGCATCCTTCCCTGGGACAGGCTAAATGCTAACACTGCTTACTTGCTCTTATATCCTTTTGGCTTTGCTGAGGGAAAGCCAGGCTTGGCAGCTCTCTGCAAACTGCTGCTAACTTTCCAGTGTGTTGGATTTCTTTTCTATACCCATCAATGCTGCTATGAGTCTAGTAGCTTATAAAACACCTGCATCAAAATGAGCTGCACCGCAATCTGAAGGAATTGGGAAGGAGCCGTTTGCTTCTGAAGCCTGTGGTAGCCTGCAGGTAGGCAGATGGAGCACAGGGCTTGCTGGAATTCCCAGACAGTGGCAACCTGTCCCTGTGAAGGGTTATTTGGAGGCCTCTGTGTCTCCTGGAAAGGCTCACAGACTTGCCTGACATCTGGGTTTGGGGACTCTGGGGTATCTAATTGCAGTGAGAGGGAGTGTGCCCAGCCTGAGCGTGTCCCGCAGCACATCCTGCAGGTGTTGCATCTATCCGGTATCTGTTTTTAAATGACTGTAGTTTCTTCAGACCATGAAGTCAGCAGTGGTTTGGGTAACCAAGACTATCAGAAATGGGTTGGAAGAACAGCATGCATGGATGGTATATTCGGGGCAGGAACATACGGGGTGCAGGGAGCATGTGGGTTACAGGGATGTGCTGTGTTGCAGTAGAGCTTTGTGGGTGCAGTGTGGGGCTAGGGGTGTGCTGGGGGTTACAGAGGTGCAGAGGAGATTGTGGGTGCAGCATGGGGTACAGTGAGCAATATGCACATGGGACACAGAGGAGTGCAGAGCACGTTGGGGGGAGCATGAGAGGTGTAGGGGCTGCTGTAGAAAGCCTGTGAGGGGACAGACAGATAGAGATGTCTAATGGAGAGACCAGGACAGGACAGGCAGCAGATGCGGGGAGAGTGTATGGGGCACAGAGGCATGCAGGGCATGCAGGGCTGGAGCCAGGGGAGGGGTGGGGGGGCATACACTCACCAGGGTCTGCTCCTCAGAGAGTCCAGTCTCAGCTGCGATGAGGCACAGCGTAGTGGGGTCAGGATGCTTGTTCACCTTGCAGAAGTTGTACTCCAGGATCTCCAGCTGCTCCTCAGTGGGAGTCACTGGCTTTTCCGTGGCCATCTTCTCCTGGGGCAGGGCTATGGGGCCAGGCACTGCAGAGAGGGGCCGGTGTCATTGCTCAAGCTGGAAGTGGTCAGTGGGGCCACACTTGCTGAGCCCCAGATTTGCCATCCCTGTCCCCACCAGCTCCCCCCTCCACAGTGGCCTCTGGCTGTGGCAGGGCACAACTCCCTTCCCAAAGACATGCCACAACTCCCTTCCCAAAGACATGCCACAGAGCTCAGCTGGGAGTGCCAACCCCTCAGCCTCCCAGCAACTCCTGCCTGCGTTTCCTTACTACGGCAACCGCACGCCAGCAGTGCCCAGCTGAGCTGTCTCACCATTCTTAGCTGGCAGGAAACTGCAGGCTGCTCAGCGCTCTCCTGGTGCTGTATTTATAGCCAGCGTGACTCCCATGGGGACGATTCCTGTTTACAGCCGTATTTAGGCCTGGGCGTCACTTAGGAGTGATGTCACAGCAATGGGAATGTTCAGGGGGGTAATTTAAAGACATTAGTTAAAAAACATTATTTATCCTCTGGATGAAGGGACAATATCTGGCATCCAGCCTAAGGGGTTGGGTTTTTTTTTTTTCCTTACTTTCCAGTGATCAGGAAAGTTTGTGCAAGGGAATCACAAAACAGAGAATGCAGAATCTTTTGGGAGCATGGTCTTTGACACAGCAATCATCCTATTTCCCCTTCTGATCACGTCCTGGTTCTCTTAGCAGCATGGCCAGACATCACACAAAGCTGGTGATGAGTGGGTGAGCTGCTTTGTTTTTACTAATATTTAATGTTATCATGCGTGGGCATAAACAGTTAGTCCTACTACTCCTGAGCATCACAGAACTATTTGTTTGGGTTTTGGTGTATAAGTGAAGGGTCAGTCCTCAGAGGACTGCACTCCATGCATATCTGTTGCCCAGGCACTCACTGCCTTTGGCTGTGGTCAGTGCTAGGTGTTCCCAGCAATGGCAGAAACAAGAAGCCCATATTGCCCTCCAGAGTAACATTTGTCCCACTTGTGCTTTGGATAAATCTCTGGAAGGCTTAGCCCAAAAGCACAAGTAAAACAAGTAAGTCCCACACATCTCTTCTGCTGGGCTTCAGGTTTGCTCCTGTGTGGCAGAGGGTCGAGCTTGCCAATTCAGTTAACTAAGACACAAGGCGTTGCCCCCACAAAGCATGCAGAAGTCCCTTGATGCTGAATCATTTTGGTGTTTTCGAAACCAGGCTGTGGGGTGTTGGTGGGGGAGGAGCTGGATGCAAAAATGTGGCCTTTCTTGATCTGTTCTCCTGCTGTCCAAGTTGCCTGGCCCATCTCTGTCAGGTGGGCTAGTTGGTATTGCTGGCTCTCCGGTGCTGCCAGGAGCCCTTGGCCCACCTTGAGACTCCTCTGGGCCATCCACTGCAGACTTGCCCTGCCTCCACACTGCAGTCCAGCTTCTCCTTTCCTTTGGCTCTGGGATGTAACCCAGGCACCTCCATCATGCTGCACCCATACTGAATAGCTTTAAACCCAAGCACTTTCTTGGCTGACTGATAACTTACCTGGGTACCCTGGGATACTGAATGCCCCAGGGCTTTCACTTGCTGACAGAACTGCTAGGATGGAGCTCAGCTTCAAAACTGTTTTGCAGCTTTCAAAGACCCAGCTCTGCTGTTCATGAGAGTCTGGAGAGATCCTCTTCTTTGAGCTTTACCTCATAAAGCAAAGGCCCTCCTGAACCTAGTCTGCAGAAGCTGCTTTGACTAACAAAAGAATCCTTTGGCATTTGAATAGGGGCTTATAAATAGACCAGGGCTGGTTGTGAAACAGCCCACTCTGCTTGAGTCACTCGATAAATACTGATTGTAACATAGCGGTTGCGAAAGGTTGCAGCACCTCTGAGTGTGATGGAGTGCTGGTAGACAGTATCATCCACTAGCCCTGGATGGACTGGTGAAAGCCCGGCTTTAACCCCAGGTACTGCAAGCCGAGCTGGCCTTGTCTACGGAGAGTTGCAGCTGCCTGGGCTTTCTTGGGGTCAGCTCAGTTCAGAGGCATCCAAATAGGAAGGGAGCAGCCAAAATTCAGTTCCTCAGGCATGTGAGGTAGCGGGGGTCTGCTGAATGCTGCTCACCTACTTGGGGCATTTGGAGACCTCTGGAAAAGATGAAGGGGGACAAGGAGGTCCCCTGGACTTCAGGTGCTGCTCTCCAGCACCATGGCTGCCAGGCTCTCCATGAGGTCAAAGTGCAGATGAGACCAAGCTTAAGCCACAAGTCCTGCCTCTCCTCCTTGATCAGCACTCTACTGAGCCACCTGCTTTTCTCCTAGAAAGCGCAGCCACCACAGGGCTCCTCATCACCTCTGGATCATAAATCCAGAGCTTGTACCACCAGCCTGTGGCTTGTGCCACCAGCAGCAACATGTCTTGGCGATTCATAAATCATTGTTTGCCGCCTGCTGCATTAATATACGTTAATGTGAATGCATTGATTTGCATAGGGAGCATGTGCCTCAACTTTCATGTTTCACCTGCACAGCTGTTTCTGTTTTTCTCCAAGTTCCTGAGGCATTTCCCCGTAAGACACAGTGTCTTCTACCTGCTGGCAGCCCAGGGTGCTCCAGCATGCATAATGTGATGCCCAGTGGCTTTTCCTTGTCTCCTCTCTAACCCTGCTCTGGAAGGACAACAGTTCCTACCTCTCAAGGCTGTGAGATGGCTTTCAGGAAAAGGCCAAAACCCTGGGGCTCCTGGAGGGCTCTACAGGTCTCCCCACATCACTCCACTAAGTCCTGGAGGCTTTCAGGAGCCATGTGGCCCCTGTGCAACACGCAGCATCCAGCATTTAGCACCTCTTGGGTGCTAAAAATTGGTGCATATGACACAACTTGAAGGCACCAGGAATGCCTAAATGCCCTGATTGGCCCTACCTGGACCACTTCTCACCTGCCTTCTATTTAAATGGAGGCTCGTTTAAGCCCAGGCCTGCAGCCTGGCCTTCAGGCTGCCTAGGACCTCTCCCCTGTACAGGAAAGGTACAAATGTCTTGCTTACGCTTCTTTAAGCCCGGCAGAAAGATGGAGACTCATAGCTGTTTGGCTCAGCTGCTGAAAATCACCGCTGCTTACTGCTTTTTTTTCCTCCCTAAAGTTTTGAAGGCATTGTAAAAAATGTTTTTTTCAGTGCAAAGGATGTTAACCATTTATTTGGCTTTCAGAAAGGCTGTGGGGCTGCAGTTGTCATTCAGCTCTGTGAACAGTCCCCTGAGAGCTGTGTGTCAGGGGTTTACTCACACAGGCAGAAATGACAATGCCAGATGCACTGTCACAGTGAAACCACCACAGCTTTGGTGACACCTGCTCTGTCCTAAGTCAAGCTAAAAACCCCTGGGGAATTCACACTTGGCTCTGACTATCTTGGTTTTAGGTGGAGCAGTGTAAGAGCAGAAGCTTGCAAGGGGTTCAATGGTTGCCTGTGCTGTGGGCGGCTCCAGCCAGCCTTGCTGTGTACATGACAGCACCTGGTGCTCTTAGTGTGGCTGACAGGGCATTGAAGTGGACCTCCAGAGCCATTTTGGAGTGAGCAGACAAAAGGTAATGGCCGATGGACACAAGTTGCAGCAAGAGAAAGTCTTACTAGGTAGATAGATAGATAGATATTGTACTACCCGTGTCCTGTGGTTGCATCCAGCTCCTCAGAAACACCCCGAGTTACTACCAGGACTCCTAGCTCTGGCCTGAAATAGGAGAGGACATCCCTCTGTCTCCCAACATGCTTGTTCAGCACTGCTAGTGCAGTCAGCATTTATTATCTGGCAGAAAGCTGCTGCTTTTCCAGAAAAGACATGATCTCTGCGCAGCTTTGGTTTTTTGAACAGTAGTCACAATAGCTGGCTGGCTGTGTAACTTTCTAACAATTTACTGCACCCAAAGCCCCTGGAAATCTCTCTGAGCAGTAGCTCCTGCCAAGGTGATGGGGCCCCCATAGCCCCTGTTTGGTTTCTTGTCCCCTTCCCCAGTGCTCCCAGTGTCAGGGCTGGGATGCAACTGGAGCATCTGCATCTGCTTTTAGCCTGCAGCTATTTCCTGCCGCTGCAGGGATCAAAATAGCAGTTCTCAATGCAAACAAGCCCTCTAACCCTGCCTTGCTCTGCTGCAGAGCCATGTCTTGTCCTGAGCTTTGCTTGGCCTCTTGCTGTGGGGTGGCTGTGGATAACATCAGCCAGCACGGTGCACAGGATAAGGTGGGACACAGGCTTTAAAAATAAACCGGACCCTGCCATAAATAAGGAAAAACCACCTGTCATGCATCCGGTAAACCACCCGTTGAGCCTTTTAGAAGATAATATCGGATGTGAACAAAGCAAACAGCACAGCAGCTGCTGCAGCAGAGGCAGGTCCCCGTGGTAGCTCCCGCCTGGGGTCTTTGCCTGCCTGTGCGCCCCTTGCCCTGCCCCGGGCATGAAGCTTTCTCACTCAGACCGGCTGGGTGCAGCTCCAACCTTCGCAGCACCAATACTCACAGGGCAGCTCCTCCCTTCATCACCCACCTCCCCATCCCCAACAGCAAATCCACTCCAGCACCCCTAGCTCAAAACATGTGCTTACCTGGAGCTGGCAGGGACCAGAAGTGTGTAAAACAAGAACCCCGCAGGTCCTTGGGTGACTGCTTAAGTATCTGCGTATGTGTGTGACAGGCGGGGACCTGAAAAACCTGCCGCAAATCACAGGAGCTCCCGGGATCCACAGCCACTCTCTGGGCTGGTAATTCAGGTTTGGCATCCACTCTCCTTGGCAGGGCTCAACGCATGGTTGTACGCGCTGCGGGGCTTTCGGACGGGTGTCACCGGCAGCCGTCGGGGCTCGTCCCGCCACTCTCCGGGCTGATGGACACCGTCCTACGGGCCCCGGGCGAAGGCTGCTGGGGCTGTTTCCTGCAGGGGTACAGGAAGGGTGAAGGCGGGGTGCGGCGGAAACTGCGCTGAGCTGTTCGTTCATCTGCACTCCCTGTCCTCCTCGGCCGGGATGGATCCCGCTCCCCTGCCGCGGGGAGCCCCGCTCCTGGCTTTGCTGATGGAGTACGGTGGCGCTCACTCCTTTGCAGGGCTGGCTTCTGATCTCACTTCAGAAGCCACTTGCAAATGATGTGTCTTCACTCAGTCTCTTGCAAATGATGTGTCCAGGTTTAACATTCCTGACTCTGCTGTCACTTTGGTCAGCCGTGTGATCCCGCCAGGTTGGGTGTAGGGGCAGGACTGGCCCTGGATCTGACCTGCTGCTGCAGCCCAAGTGCCCTCCAGAGGCATGGGACAGGAGCCTGGCTGGGAATGGGGAGGAGGGTAGAGCATCCTCTTCTGCCAAAGACCAATACTCTCCTCGGTTAAAGTGCCCCGGCGCCTGCAGTTCCCACTGGGGTGGTCTGGAAGCATTAGACAGCATCTTAAAAAGAGGCAGCTTGTCGGGTGGGGTGCAGTGGGGAGGGGCTGATTTTCTCTCAGCTTATAGACAGCTGGAAGAAGATGCTGGAAAATCAGAGAGGCTGGAGAAAGGGCTCATGAAAAATTGAGTATGAGTTGCAACGGCTGAGATTATCTGCCAGAGCAAAATGCAAACTGGCACAGGATGCAAAAAGCTGTGGAGCTGACTGGAGCCAGGGCCAGGGAGCCCTGCCCCTGGGGAGAAGTGGCTGGACAAACACAAGAAACCTGCCATATGTTTAGCAATGAGCCAAAACCATCCCAAAGAGATTTTTAATGTTGGGGAAAAGATGGGCCAAGACAAGGGGATTGCAAAGACATCTGTGCCGAAGGGCAGGCAGACCTGTGCCAATTTTCCTGGCAGGATGACATTTATGAAACGAGTGCTTTTGCTACAGGGATAGCTTCACTGCCTGATAAAGCAAGTGAAGAGAAGTCTTTTGGAGAAGACTTGATCCTGCATGCCCTGGGCAGGCACCTGGCCAAGGAATTACGTCCTGTTTATCACAGGTGTTAAGCAACAGGAACATAGTTAGCAATGGGTGCGGACAGGCAGGTTGGAAGATGTGTCCAACAGGATGGCTCCAGCAGCCATGGCTGGGGGACATCAGCGTGCATTCAAGGAGGCTGGAGCAGACCCCTGCAGCAGGAGTCAGCCCTGGATTTCAAACCCAGTGTGGGGAAAATCCAGGTAGAGGTCCTGAACTGCATACTGTCACGTGCTTGGGGGAGCTCCAGTGGATATTGCTACTTATCTGCCCCATGCCCATGCTCTGCTCTGGCATCTGCTCTTGGCTAACCTTGGAGACAGGATAGATGGGAAAATACTCTGCCTAGAAACATTTTCCTATGTTTGTATGCTGTCTTTTATTTTTTTCCATGCATGTGCCCCAAGCATTGCAAAATGTGAGTAACCTGGCCCACAGGAACAGGATGGGCTCCTCTCTTCCCTTGTTTATTACTGTCAACAGAAAGAAAGTCTTTAATGTGGAAAAACCCTTTTCCCTTAGCCTATGAACCCAGCCCAGATTTGCACTGAGAGCACTGGCAGTGACATGTTTCAGGCTGAGACACACCACTGAAATGTCTTCAGAGGTGCTGAGAGTCCTGAAGTGGTGACAGCGTGAAAGTCACATCATGAATCTACCCACATGTACCTGGCACATGCTAATGCTTTCCTGATCTTTTCTGAAATTTTTTAGGCCCCATTTCTCCTTCTGGGAGAGAGTCAAAGTACTGCTGGAGTTTATACCTCATCTGGTATGAAGTGATCCTGTCCCCAGAAGATGTCCCTTTGTCAGCGGAATTAGATTAAATAGAAACAAAATGCAGGATGCATCCAGGCCTATCACAGAGAATTTTTCCTGACAGGGGAAGAAGTACAGTTGTTGTGATGTGCATTTGACAGTCTTGCAAGATACTATGGCATTGCATGGAGGAGTTGACAGCTGCAGCCTGCATTCAGCACCCCACTCCTCTGGACCCCTCTTGCAGAGACTTGAATATCATCCATGTTGCTCCATGGCAACATGTTGGCTGCAGTCACTTTGGGGGGAGCATTGGACACACAGCTCATGGCTATCCGGGCCCAAATGTTGTCCCCCTAAAGCTGTATGGAGACAGAATGGAAAAAAGATGAAGAGTAGAGGGGGGAAGCAACTCGTCAGGCCATCAGGATAGAATGGGATATAATTTAGCTTTTCTGACTTGTTCATATTGCCTCCTTTTCATGCATCTGTCTCTCTTGAATTTTGCCATGTTTTCTTTCCTCAAAATGAGGCTTAGTACCAGCACCTCTTGTCTGGGCATTAAACAGAGATTTCTTTCTTTTTCTAATTGTGTAAATTAAAAAATGTCCGCTTTCCAGAGACTCCACCCCAACCCAACTGTCAGATAGAGAGCAAAACCTTCCTTTCTTCCTCTGAGCATACCCATGCAAAGGAGAACCTCAAAAGCCATCTTCTGTTTTGTTTTTCAGTGTTTTTTTTCCTGGTGTGCTGGGGTTTTCTGGCTACTAATCCAAAAAATGTGGCTGGAAACAAGGCTTTACTGAATTTTTTGGCTTCCATTCAGTCAGAGAAGAGTTTCCTAACCAGCCAGTACTCACTTACAGGACAACTCTTGCAGTAAATCAGATGAGATTTCTACCTGCATACGCCGCTTGCCCCAGAACAGCGTAAGAAATCAGTCGCTCTTCAGGGTGCAGCTAACAATTGCCTTTGATATCCCAAAACACGAGAACCTGACTGAATCATTGATCTTTTGATCAGTTTTTCCCTAGGAGAGCAGCAACACTAGCTGCAGCCAGAGAGTCAGCAGCATGCAGTGCTCACTCAGACCATGCCCCGGGCAGGGAGAAGAGGAGGTGGGCACAGGTGGCCCCTTGCTGGTGGAGCCGGGCTGCCTGCTGCCCACCCGGCTTCAGCAACTGCCTCTCCTGCACTCTTCTTCGTGCATTTTCCTTTTTTTTTTTAGTGGGCAGGGCTCAGCCTGTCTCTCCTCAGCATTAGAACAGATCCAGGCCAGACAGATACTAATCAGATGTGACTTCCAGTAAGATCCCTGCCTTTACTTTGTGGGATACAGTCGTGTGGATGGAAACTGCAATGTTTTATTATTCCTCCAGTTGTTCCAATACTTCTCAGAGAACAGTGTCATCTCATTGGTATTTCCATGTGCAGTCTCTGCCTGGGGTACAGTCTTTCTTCCTACTCTCCCTTTTACTAACCAGATTGTTTTGAAGTGACTAAACCAGGAGCTGATACATGCAGTTCCTTGCCAGGAGGATTTTCAACAGCACTGCCATTGCTTGTGGGCAGAGCGTGCCCCAGCACGCAGAGGCAGCCGGCAGGGCATCCCACATGTGAGCCACCTGACATGCCTAGCCCAGGGAAACATGGGCTCCAGTGTGGCAGTGAATCTGATGAGAAACTTGTTTAAACATGTTTTAAAATGGCTCTTTGTGGTCCCTTTGCAAACACGTGTTTCTTCTTCCCAATAGAGAGGCAGGGAGGAGGGCAGAGTAGACATGCAGAACTGCTTTCTACCCTGGAAGTGCCAGAGGTATGCGAAGGGGAGCGAGTGCCCTTCCACAGATTTGGATGGCCATGCGTTTTCGAGGGAGCAAGTCAGGGAGGCAACTCATGAGTTGAGATAAGAACAGTTTAATACTCGAAACAAAGTAAAATATAATAATGATATTAAAATATAACTGTGACTAATCAATAAATAGTAATAACGATAAAAATAATAATGAAAAAAACACAAACAAAAAAAATAAGTGATGCACAATACTATTGCTCACCACATGTTAACCAATTCTGAAATCAGTGTTCTGAAATCTGTTCTGTTCTGAATCTCTAGGCTGAAGCTGCCTGGTTTTGGAAGTCCCGACTGAAATATTTCAGTCAAATACTTCAAGGTCAAAGGAGGGACTTCATCCTTCCCCAGAGCAGGGATGAGCTCTCCCCAAACACTTGCCTGCCACCAACACGGCCTTCTCAGTTGTAAGCAGGCATGCTATCCTGAAGGCTTGCTTCGAGGCTCCTAGTGGGTTGAACACAGTTGCTGACAATCCCCTGGCTGTCATGGAGCCCAGCCACTTTCCTCAGCCTTCACCCTGAGGGACAAGGATCATCTTTTCCCCTGTGCTGTCCCATGCCAGGCAGCCCATGGGTGCTGTGAGGGGCAGGCAGGGAGTCCCTGGCTGCAGGGGGTGCCTGGCCGTTGCACCCACCTTGCAGCAGCAGTGCCGTGCAGCCAGCCCTGTGCTTTCCGTCGGAGCAGTTTGGGTGGGTGGGAGAGGGCCTTGGTCGGTGCCTACTGAGAGGTGACCCTGGTGCCACCAGCTGCTGGGGCATTGCCACAGGTGATGAACAGGATGAGTCATCTCCATGTGACACACACCACAGCTCCTGTGGCACCTGTGGTACCCCATGGCAGTGGCAGGTGACCAGGATGACTTGCAGAGTGACAGTGAATAGGGATGGGATGTAATGGAGACTGGCCCTCTGCTCCAGCTGCTTTGTTGGGTGTCAGGGAGTGGCTTCAGGAGCCCTATGCAATAAACTTTAAAAATGTTTTCCCCTTTAAGAGCCTGGTTGCTAAAGAGGGTTCCTGGGAAGCTAGCACTGACAAAGTGTCACAGCTACCTGGGTGCCAGCTGCCAACAGTCTTCTCTGCACAGCTGGCCATGGGGATGGTGGGTGAACACAACAGAGGCACTTACAGCTGGCTTCCTCATTGCTCTGACAGCCTCATCACCCCAGGGAATGGGTCACCCACCGTGGGACATCCCCTGCTCCTGGGAGTTCCCTTCTGCTCCATCTTTGGGGGCTGGGGCACTCCGCTGTCAGAGTGTTGGTGTGTGTCTAGTGTGTTTGGCAGGGAGGCTCCAGGATGGAGGAGGATGCTCCTTACCATCTCTCAAGATACAGTGACTGGGCTGGTGGTTGGCAATGCTTTCCAGGGAGCAGAATGCAGTGCAGTGTTGCACAGACCAGCAGCTGGAGAGTGCTCAACCCATGGGAGAGTCCAGCAGGCTGAAACAAGCACAAACATCCTAACAAACTTGAGCTAACAAAGCCGTGCCTGTGCCGCTGCTTAAGGAAGTCCCATTCTTGTTGCAGCATGTGTTTTTGCTCCTTGTCCTGCTGGAGGGAAGTGGTTTGGGGGATACCAGAGACTGAAGGTGCCAGTTCCCATCAGCAGTGAGATCAGGTTCTGGAGGCTTACTGCCAAGCTGAGGCTGTTTGAGGGAGGAGGCCTTTTGGCACTGGTGGGAGATTGCTTTTATGTTGCTCCGAGTGTCTATGTGCCCATCTCTTGACTGGCTGGTACTACATACAACCAGTGTATCTGGCTTCTCTGGGTGGGTTTTTCTCCTTTCTTCAAAGATTGTTTCTCATCTTAGGCCTAGTCCTAGCTAGGCCTGAGATCTTCTTCAGAGAGGGTTTTATGTAGGGCTATGTCTCCTGTTTCTTAAGCCTATGGCCTGGCCACAGGAATCCCTGCTTAGTGGGGTGGGCACAGTGGGGCTGAGCTGAGAGAACCCACTGGAAAGCTATGTCCTGAACACCATGCTGTTCCTGCTGTCCAGAACTGGCCTGTCTGCATGGCAAGGGAACACTGGACCAGATTGTCAGGGGTTTCCTGCTTCCCTTGAAATACACTTCACTTGGCAGATATTCTTTTAGCAAGATACTAAAGATTCTAGCCTCTGCTGCCCGTTCAGCTGTTGTACACATAGACATGGATTTGCTGGCATGTGAGGCTGGGCTGGCTTTAAAGTAGGTGTCTGTAAAGGTAGTCTTGAGTTTTCATGCCTTGATTGCTCCCAACTTGATTTCTCTTCCTCCCTCACCCTCCATTGTTGGATTGTGGCACTAGGAAACCTCTGCCAAGAGCAAAGGAGGGACAAACTTGCAACAGCCAGGGTGACAGGATTTGTCCAGGGCATCTTACTTCTGTGCTGCAGCATCCTCTCTGTGCTAGATCTCTGCACAGCTTCAAAAGAAACAGTTCATGGCAGTGCTGCAGGGCACTTCCATCTACTCTGAACCTTCTCTGGCCTAGGAGAAAGCAGAGTTAAAGGAGTTCTCTCTGGCTAAAAATGCCACTTCACTGACCCTCAGTTAGCAGCCTGGAAGGATCATGAATTCTGGAAGAGAAGGAGCAAGTGGCTAGAAGGGGCTGAAGTGTTCCAGCATCAGCAATCCTGGATCGTATCTGCTTGTCCTTAACTTGTCACTTCATTCTCTCTTCCTCAGTGCCAGCAAAGAAGGTCACTGCAACTCACAGAATCACAGAATCTGCTGAGTTAGAAGGGACCCACAAGGATCATTGAGTCCAACTCTTAGCCCGGCACAGGACCATCCCCAGGAGTCACACCATGTGTCCTACAGTATCATCCAAACGCTTCTTGAGCTCTGTCAGGCTTGGTGCTGTGACTACTTCCCTGAGGCACCTGTTCCAGCACCCAAACACCCTCTAGGTGAAGAATCTTTTTCTAATATCCAACCTAAATCTCCCCTGACACAACTTCAGGCCATTCCTTCGGGTTTTGTCACTTGTCACCACGGACAAAAGATCAGTGTCTGCCCCCACTCTTCTCCTCACTAGGAACGTTTAGATTGCAATGAGATCTCCCTCAGTCTCCTCTCCTCCAGGCTGAACAGACCAAGAGCCCTCAACTACTCCTCATACGGCTTCCCCTCAAGGCCCTTCACCATCTTTGTTGCCCTCCTTTGGATGCTCTCTAAGAGCTTAATATCTGTCATGGTGCCCAAAACTGCACACAATATTCAAGGTGAGGCCGCTCCAGTGCAGAGCAGAGCAGGACAATCTCCTCCCTCAACAAGCTGGTGATGACAACAAGCCTGATGCCCCCCAGGACATGGTTGGCCCTCCTGGCTGCCAGGGCACTGCTGACTCATATTCAACTTGCCGTCGATCAGGACCCCCAGGTCCCTTTCCACGGCACTGCTTTCCAGCATCTCATTCCCCTGTCTGTTTGTACATCCAGGGTTGCCCCATCCCGGGTGTAGTATCTGACACTTCCTCTTGTTGAACTTCATATGGTTGGTGATTGCCCACCTCTTTTAATTTGTCGAGGTTTCTCTGTAGGGCCTCCCTGTCTTCAAGGGAGTCAACAGCTCCTCCCAATTTTGTGTCAGCTGCAAATTTGCTTAGTATCCTTTCCAGTCCTGTGTCCAAGTCATTTATGAAGATGTTGAAGAGCACAGGGGCTAAGATGGAGCCCCGTGAAACCCCACTAGTGACAGGTCACCAGTCTGAGATTACACCATTCAGTATTACCCTTAGTGCTCGAACCATGAGCCAATTGTTCACCCACCACACGATGTGTGCTGGACATTTTGTCCAGAAGGATCCTGTGTGTATTTCACCCTGGTGTAGAGCTCAAGAGTGAACTCTGGAGCTTGGCTGCATTTATCCTAGTATTCACAGCAACATGCTTCTCAACCCTCTTGGGACTCAGAAATTGTTTGCACAGCTAGAGAGCAAACCTGCACACCTGAGGAAGAGTTGTGCCGCATCATTATTTCCTATGATGGCCAGGGTCCTCCCAGGAGAACTTGTCCAATTGAATATTGCTGATCATTTTCTGTGTTGTAGTTTAACAACTAAGTTCATGAAGCCGCTTGCTTACTCCCCCCACCCCTGCTAGGATGGGGAGGAGAATTGCAAAAAAGTTGGAAACTCCTGGGTTGAGATAAGAACAGTTTAATAATTGAAACAAAGTAAAACATAATAATTATAATAAAATATAACAATGCAACTAATAAATCAATAGTAATAATAATAATTGTAATGAAAGAAACCCAAACAAGAAGGACAAGTGATACACAGTACAATTGCTCACCGCATGTTGATGCCCATCCCATTCCCCACCAGCCCCCCTCCATCCTTTCTGCCAAGTACTCCATTTATATACTAAGCACGAAACTCTATGGTATGGAATAGCGCTTTGGCCAGTTCAGGTCAGCTGTCCTGACCAAGCTCCCTCCCAGCTCCCTGTGCACCTGCTTGCTGGCAGAGCATGAGAAACTGAGAAGTTCTTGGCTTAGGGTAAGCACTACTGAGCATCAACTAAAACATCTGTCAGTTTGTCATCAACATTATTCTCATACTGAATCCAAAACACATCATTGTGCCAGTTACTAAGAACAAAATGAACTCCAGGATATCCTGATATGCAGTTCTGATATGTGTGGCTGATAAATATATCTCTTTTTTCAGGGATGACTACAGGACCTTCCAAGTCACAAAGTGAAACCCAAAGATTCGTGGTCTGTCTATATTAGTCTGCTGAGGCCTGGATGAACTCTCTGAAGATATGCCTCCCCATATTCCACATTGAACAGCTTTGGACGTTGGAGCTGAACTCTTCACCTGCCAAGGGGCGATTGCTGTCATCGTTCCTCCTGTATGAAAGCCAAAAGGAAGCTCCCTTTTGATTGATCCAGGCCTTACATCCCTTGAAGAGAAGATAAGGACACAGAAGAATGCTTCACCACTGGGGTCACTGCTGAGCTTTATAACCAGGCCATAAATTGACCACCTACTCTCTCTGCTCTGCAGGCTCTCCCTGGTCACTGAGAGCTCATCACCCACAGCCTTGACAACGCACTGACACTTTCCTGCATGGTCCCAGACACTGCCCAGTCTGGCAGCAGTGTCACCTCTTGGCATTAACTCTCACGGGAAGAGGAAGAAGCAGGGAAGTATTTGTTAGCCCCAAACCAGCAGCTGACTGTAACTGCTCTGCCAGATGCAGACCTTAGGAAAAGTTTTTTCTGTGCATGCCCCCTCATCATAAACCATCTCCTCTTGCTACTGAGGTCTCGTTTGCTGAAAAAGATAAGAAGAGGTGTGTATTGAAGCACAGCTCAAATTCCAGAAGTAATTTGTCGAAGCTCCTGGGTTTTACATACAGGCAGGACAGAAAACTGGCAACTTCAGATGAAGCAATAGAGTCTCAGAGTGACTTCACTTCTACAGGTGCAACTACTTTATAGGGACTGAATGTTACAATAATCCAGTATGCTAAAGAAACAGGATGGGTACAAGGAGCTCATGTGTGTCTGCTCATTACTGAGCTGAGAGTTTTATCCCTTCTCTGTGTGATGTGTAATTGCTGAGTTAGACCACTGGCTCTGCAATGGGGTGTCAGCTTGGATGGGTTACCTATTCCTTGCAGCCTATTTTGTATGTACATGCTGCTTTCAGCCTGGCTACCCAACCCCCTGGCCATGTCCCATGTTACTGACTGCCAGAATGGATCAGGACTCCGAGTACATCTAAGGGCTGTCACGGGCTCAGTGGCATTCCCACAGCTCAGCTGGGTCACTAGAAATGCCATTGTGCCAGATCATGGCAAATATGGAGAAAATAAAATACACAAAGGGCCAGATCTGCTCTCTGTGCCCAGCATCCTGTTGCTCTGGAAATCTTGGTGACCTGGGAGTAGGAACACACAAGTGACTATGTACTCTGCCTGGAGAGACCTGGTGTGAGCTAGGAACTGCTCACAATATGCTGGTTTCTGTCAGATGTTGTTCAGCCCTGCCATTTCTGAAGACCTGGAGACATTCTTGAGTCTCTGAGAGTGCACTATCTGTTCTGAATAAAGTAATCTTACTAATCCCTACTGGCTGACTGTTGACCCTAAGCACATATTTTGTGAATTTTGCACTCGAGAAACTTAAACGCAAGAGATGGGAAATTAAGCAGAAGGTTCAGAGGCATTTTTCTGCTGTGTATGTACACACAGCACTCTGGATAACTTAGGTGCTTTCTCATAGTCAGACCTGTTGGGGTGAGACACCCAGCTTTGGGCAGTGCAGTTACTGTTTGCAAATGCACTAACCTCTTGCTATTACAAACAAGTGAAGTGGAAATGACCTCTCAAAGTCTCTAGTCCAACCTCCTGCTCCAAGCAGGGCCTTCTAGATCACGTTGATTAGGACTGTAAGCAGCAGAATTGTGAACATCTCGAAGAGTGTTGGATCTAGAATTTCCATGAGTCCCTGTTCTAGTATTCCTCATGGGAAACATATTTTTGCTAGTATTTAATCAAATTTTTGCATGTATACAAGATCCCCATTCTAGCACACTATTACTTATGTATGGGTTTTTTGCTTACTGGTGCATGGCAGAGTCTGAAGACAATGTTTATCAGGGGACAATAAATGCTTCTTTCCCTCCTCATGTGCCCAAACACTTGGTTTTCATTCCAGAGTTAAAAATCTCCTTTTCCTTTTCTGATTACTTTTTAAAAGGGTATCCTTCTTCCTCTGTGTAGGAGTGGAAGAAGTCCCCAAAATATGCAGGTTTTTCCTCTCTTTGGGCTCAATCACATAGTAAGAGATGCTCTTAGGAATTTACAAACACTTATGCCCAGAGTTTAGGAAACCTTTACCTTGGCTGATCCATGCAGATGACTTGCTTACTGCCTTCTCCTATTTGACTCTGACATGAATAATATCTAGCTCTCAACTGACACCCAAATATATAGTCAAGTTTTAAACTTTGATTATGGTTGCAAAACCCTACATTCTGCTGGAGAAATTAACTGCTCATGGCATGGATGGGTGCACTGTTTGACATGTTAAAAACTGGCTGGAGGGCAGGGCCCAGAGTGTGGTGGTCAACGGCGCTACATCCAGTTGTGGTCGATCACTAGTGGGGTTTCCCAAGGCTGAGTGTTGAGGCCAGTCCTGTTTAATATCTTTATCAATGACCTGGACAAGGCGATCAAGTGCACCCTCAGTGCAGGGGGCAAATTGATAGTCAGAGACAGTACCAGGGACACAACCTGTATTTTGTTTGATTGTCAGGATTTACATTTAGGAACATAGCTTAGTGGGACTTAGTGGGCAGTGTTAGGTTTATGGTTGATGATCTTAAAGCTCTTTTCCAACCTAAATGATTCTATGAGTCTTAGTAGATGAACTTAATCACTGATGTAACATCTCATTCACAAATATTCCAATACACTTTGTGCATTCTAGCTGTATTTATGTCTCCTAGCATAAGCTCAGGGAAGGCAGAAAAAGTGTGGGGCAAGCATATCCATATATTTACAGAACATCACCTAAACCATAAAAAAAAATTTCCCCCAAAAAGCTATGAATCCCATGTGAATGCAAAGTTAATTTTTAGTAATTCACAGACAGAAACAAGCTACTTGTAGTTTCCCAGTGCTTACCAGAAGGTAAGAGTATGCATGCAGATAGCTATTGCAGAACAGCCCCAAAGCTTCCTAGAGAACCCACTCCTCTCTTTGACAGATGCTCTTCAAGTGGAGATGAATAAAGAGGGCTCACTTCAGGTGTCCATTTACAGATATGTGCAACTTACTGGATATCCAAAATATTTGAAAGGGACTGGCAGATAAGAAAAAAGACTTTCAGGAAACCCAGACCCTTCCAGGGCAGCAGTTTGGGGCTTGCTGCAATACCCCACAGAATGCACAGAGACACCGGATATTACCAGACAAGTTAAACATTTCAGTCCCAGCCCTATTCTCTGCTCCAGAGCACTTCACAGTAGGGTTTTTCAGCCTCTTTGCCTCAGTCACTGGGCAAGCCAGAACAGACTAGCTTATGTGGGACCAGTTTTAGGTCAACTCTAAACACTTTTGCACCTAATGTCAGGAAGAAGTATTCAGAACTGCCTAAAAGGTAAAATAAAACACATGTACCAGATTCTCACATAATTTCTCACCAGTTGACAAAAAAGCTCTTAAAAGGATTAATTTTTCCTCAGTGTGAAAGATGGAAAGGAGGAAAATTATTTTTGAGGCTATCTATCTAGCTAAGAATGCCCTGTCCAGAAACCTATGCTGCTTCTATAAATGTTTAGGGGTTAAAAAATGAAGCAGCGGCTACATGACCAGCTCAAAAATCATAAAGCTGAGATAGAACACAATACAATCTCACACATGGCAGTGAATGCCACAAATTCATCTATGAGTCATCTGCCCACAGAATAAAGTTTTTACAAAACTGAGTATTGTAGAGTCTCCTTCAGTAAACATACTTGGATTCAATGATCAGGAAAAAGAAAGTTAACTTTGCCAAGTAAATGAGATTGATTGTGTACCAGTGACATTAATAATACAGATTAAAAGAAACCGCTCCTAACAGAACGTTTATGCATACAAACCATACTGATTTATAAAAAGCTTTTCCTACACCCCGTACTGAGAACACAAAATGAGATTTAAAAGAAAACAAATGCTGCCACCTAGGGAACAAGGTGGAAATCCACCAATTCAGGCTCTTCGGACTGTCTCCCATAGGGTTCGGGCCACGGCTCTCCTTTCTGCTTTTGCTCATGTTCCTGTATCACCGAGGACAAATGGAGCAGCGATAGTACTGGCTAAAGCTGCACTGGTATCTACAGGAAGAGGGAAGTCTCTCCTGGGTGACTGCTGATGGGTAGCACCATTGGATACATGTTCTCCAATACACAAGGGTTTTCAATAGCTAACAATATCTTTTGAGCCTTAAACGTTTCAGTGGAAGCACGGTGGGTTTGACACGTTTCTATGATACACAAGACAACTTCAGGATTCCCTGTCCTGAAAAATTGTGCCAGCAATTCAAGGAGAGATGCTTTCCTCCTTGTTCAAACTAGATATCAACTCTGATGGAGAAAGCCCGCATACCCTTTAAAGAGACCTGAAACAAAGGGGCTGAGCACTTCCAAACTACTCACAGCTAAGCTGGGAGCTGAAGCCCAGCTGTCCCAGAAAACACACACACAGTGTCTGCTGGGCAACAGCAGATGTGAAGTCTAGGAACTTTTTTTTAACGTGTTTCCTGGCCAAATGTAAAAAAAATTCTATAGGAGGGAGAGTTGGGAATTTAATAAATTAAAAAAGCTCTTCTTGTAGTTCAACTGGGGAAAAAAACATTCATCTGTACATTGCATTAGCAAAAGCCAGTAAGACATCCTCTGACCTTCGTTTGACCTATGTGGATGGCTGCACATTCTCCTCCCAGTCAGATCAGAACTGTGCTGATCCTGTGAAGCTAGAAAATGTCATAAAATCCTAATCAATCAAAATATTATCCAACAACCTGAGCTCAGACAGAAAAGAGATCCTTTCTTGTTTCACAGTCATGCCATTCAGCTAGTATAACTCCTTATTAGCTTCATGCATGTGTAATAAGCTAACGAGAAAGCTTGCCATAAGGTTGTTGATGTCTTAAGGTTTCAGTAACATCCTTCTATGTTACTGAATTACAAATTATGTTATGAAGCTGTTATTATTATGTTATGTTAATACTATGTTATTATGAGTTATGAAGTTGTGTCAGGGGAGGTTTAAGTTAGATATAAGGAAAAGGTTCTTCCCCCAGAGGGTGTTTGAGCACTGGAACAGGTTCTCCAGGGAAGCGGTCACAGCACCAAGCCTGAAGGAGTTCAAGAAGCATTTGGACAATACTCTCAGCCACATGGTGTGACTCTTGGGGTGTCTTGTGCAGGGCTAATGGTTGAACTTTGATGATCCTTGTGGGTCCCTTCTACCTCAGGATATTCTATGATTCTACTGATTTTAGCAGTAAATTTTAACGCCATGAGTAGATGCCAGTCAGCACTTCAAGCAATCAAAGCGACATAGGGATTTTAGTGCATCTGGTAAATCAAGCATGGTGATCACCAAATGCTGGTACATAGTCGTGTACTAGTCAATTTTAATTTCAAGGAGGCTGGAACTTTTTCAAATCCTGTGCTGTATAATAGTCTCTCTGTTAAAGAGAAATATACTTCTTTGCTACAGCTAGAAATGTATATTTAAACAGTTTGAACCCACTGTAGCCAGTGATGCAAGATTCACAAGCTGTCTTTCCCTCTTTGCCACTTAATTTTGCTGCTCTAACACTGTTATCTAGATGACTTCCTACCTCACCTGTATATAAAATGGACTTCTAACAGCATCACTGAAGGCAATTGGATTAGGCCATGAGTGAGGACTCTTCATACAGTTAAGCCTCATAGGAAGCTTCATAGGAAGGCTTAGATTCCTAGTCTAGAAGTATGAGTCCTACTCTTCATATGAATAAAGATGAACATTGTCCTAAATGTAATTTACAGTTTTTAACTTAAAGCAAAATAATTAAGCCCACCATACTGAAATTCACCATCTTTTTGATCTATAAATGTTCATAAACACCCGACCAGTGTACGTTATTGTTATGTTTCTGGTTTTTTGCTTGCAGACCTCCAGTTGTGTCACACGATGTTCCTCTGTCAAGTGATTAGCCTTCGCTCGAAGAAAATGAAAGCAGGCGTGTGCTGGAAGGTAAGGGTAGTTTTGACCCTTTAAAGGAACCATAAGACAAAAGCATTATTGTTTTTCAAACTTGAAGTCACTGACCTGAGAACATTCCTCGGGCACAAAGTGTGCTGTACATCCCTACCTGCACTGCTGCTCCCCAGCAAAGCCTGACACAGCCATTGTCTGGGGCCAGCGGTAGAGCAGGTGCTGCTTGGCTTGGATCAAAGGTAGAAGCCACCTGTGCATCACCAAGCACCACAGGGCAACCCAAATACAGTTAATTTCAATCAACATGCAGGAAACAGAAAGGAACAAACCCAAGAAAGGCTATGTGCCCATATTCATGACAAGTGCAAGGA